AGTCTCTGGTCCACCTCTTGACTGTAGACTTTCCGTTGATAATTCAGGCGGGTCAAGGCGCGTCCCACGCGTGCGAGGTCGTCCAGGCCCTGACAGGGGCCTTCAGGCAGGCCAAGACGCCGAAACAAGTCCCGTGCCCGTATGTCTTGAACGTCGACGCGATCCGTTCTCTTCAGTCTCAATCGCTGGGTTTTCCATTCTTGGGTCAGAGGGTGAGGCTTCTGGGCATAATGCTGTGCCACCACCAGGGCCCGTGCCAAACAGGATTGATCTTGGTTGTTGATCCGTACAATGCCCCTTTTGCATTCGAGTCCAATCACGTTTTTCAGCGGGGGAACGCCACTGCCCGATCCTAGCCTGTCGGGATCTGCGACGTGTACTAAAGTCACAACCATGGTGGCATCGATGTTCAGGGCTTTGTTGGACTGTTGGACTTTTTCCACGGCATGCAAAATATCGAGCCCATGGAGATCTTCAAAGCGACGAAAGGGAATCCGTATGGGGATGTTCAAAGCGGGATGATCGATACCTAGACCAATACGATCTCCCTTCTGGCCTGACATCTGTTCATAAAAGTCATCGATGACTCTGTCAAATAAAACTGGCAGTTCCATGGGAACGCAGTCCGGTGGTACGGTGTCCAAGTAGTCTGGGTTGAAAGTCAAACGATAGGTATGGTTAGCGGTTCTTAATCGTCTGGAGCGGGTGATGTCTTTCCTCTCCAAACGATAGGGTGTACTCTGCGTGTCCGTCATGGTGGCGATGAGTGTCTGAGTGTCAGCCCTTCCTTTATATACACAGAAAAGAGGATCTATTGATAGAAGGTCTCTGATTGGTCGAAAATCTGACCAATCAGAAGACAGCACCGACCAATCAGAAGACAGCACCCAAACCGAGTTGTGCTTTCTCTCCCATGGAAAATACATTTTTTCCTATGAAAAAAAACAAACACAACAGTCGGACCCATTTGAAAAACTGAGGCTCAGTCCAGGCATCGAAACGGATCCATCGGCGTGTCGCGTTTTGGAGCCATCAAAACAGGAGCCCTTTCGATCCACTCTAAAAAATGAATTGTGTTGTATTTTTTAGGATGGAGAAATCAGCATGCTCACCCCAGGGAGAAAAACAGGATAAAACATGGTTACCCATCAGAAGCTTGGGTTGTCCTTCAATCAGGAAACAGGTCGACAGTGTCTTAAATAAGATAGACACTCTCTGGTCATCACTTTTCCTATGAACAAGAAACAAAAGGGCCGGGCCAGTTTGGAAAACCGAGGTGAAAGTCAGGCGCCGGAACGGACCAATCAGCACGCAGCGTGTTGGACCAATCAAAACAGGCACCATTTCGATCGCTCCCTGCATTCCTACATGTCTGTGCCTGTCGATTCACCTTTAGAAATTCAGACAACACCTTGAGCACCTTTTCGCCACTCATCCCCTGTTGCTTAAACGAACGATTGTCCTTGTGCTAGAATACGCCCGCCTTGTGGAACAAAACCTTACATCTCAATGTTGACAAACACATCATCATAGTCGATGACGTCATTTGTGGCATGTTGTAGCAAGATCTTTCGCCGATGTGGTGTCAACCTAGCAACAGAGTGGCAGAGTCGTCGACTGTGTATGATAACTTTGATAAACTCGTCTCAGTGATCTATCATTTCCACACGCCATCGACACCCACCCTGCTTGCTTTGCAACCCAAACAACAACCATCCAAAAGAGCCCACACCCACCCCCTCGTCCTCTTGGAGGCACACGCCTACGCATGACACCACAATGGTACGTCTCCAAATGATAAAATAAATATATAGAAATAGAGACGCGTGAAACACCACGTGTGCCTGGAGACACGAGTCAAACACCACGTATGTCTATCGGTCTCTCTCTCTCCTTATAAAATACAAAATAGGATCAATAATCCTGTGGATCAACGTGTGTTTGAAGACACACACGCATGACATCACGATTGCATGGCAACATGAAGTACATGACGTTTTGCATGACAACACACGACGTACATGACGTGTGCATGGAGACACGAATGACAGTACGCCTGTCGACCTACACGAGTACCGACTCCTCGGCATCATTCATAATAATGTTCATCCTGTGGATCAACGTCAACGTCTGTTTGAACACACACACACACACACACAGAGGACACCACGTTTTGCCTGGCATCACGCGTGAAACACTACGGGTGCCTGGCAACACGAATGACAGTACACCTGTCAACCTACACGAATGCCAGCACCTCGGTATCATGAATAAATAAATGATAATAATCATCCTATGGATCAACGTCAACGTCTGTTTGTCGTCACGCGTGGCACCACGTTTGCATGGGGGGTGACACGAAGTACTTCACGTAGGCATATACCTACAACACGTTCATGTCTGTGCCTGTCGATTCACCGTTAGAATTCAGCCAACACCTTGAGCCCCTTTAAATTCGCCACTCCCCGACTTTTAACTTAGACGAACGACTGTCATCGTGGGCTACAATACACGATCGCCTTGTGGAACGAAACCTTACACCTCAAAGTTGACAAACACATCACCATACCCGATGACATGATTTGTGACATGTTGTTGCAAGATCCTTCGCCGATATGACGTCAACCTAGCAACAAAGTGGCAGAGTCGTCGACTGTGTTTGATAAGCTCGTCTCAGTGAGCTTCATCTCCACATGCCATCGCCACCCACCCACCAAAACAAAACAAAACAAAACAAAGAACCCGACTCCCTTCCCGCTTTCCTTCCTCCCTCCCTCCCTCCTCCTCCCTCCCTGCACCACCACCGCCTTTTCTATTTCTATTTTTAGAAAAACACAAGAACAACAACGACCCTGTCGATCTTGTTCACAGATCCTCTCGACCAATCAGAAGCCAGGAGCGGTACTGTACCGCTGCACACAACTACTCTAGCCCACGGAGATACCATGCTGAAGTTTTTATATGAAAACAGTGTACTGACAGACACAGTGTATTTTAACAGACACGGTGCACTAACTCTGAGCCAACCAGTTCTGGTTGTATTCCCTTAACGCCACGTGCCGTATATTGTATATTGCACACTACGGTTTGAGTTTGATAGATATGTATGTTTATTTGCAAGTATAATTGGAAATACAGCCATTCTAATCAGTACCAAGATTGTATAAATATATACTTAATAGATATATATTAACTACCGGGCAAAAGAAAGTTTTCATTTTAAAAATAGTTGTATAAAACGCAAAAAAGCTGGTACAGGTTTGAACCCCCGCAGAAAACATTCGCACAAATGCAACATGACCACAACCACAACGCAGATTTTCGAACGCAGCTTTCCAAATCATGCATTGTTGGAGACGTGCGAAACGTGATTTTGAGACATTGGTCCGAATGCACGTGCGTGATTGTGGCATAAATACGGACGTTGGACAGAGCAGGCATTCAGTAAGCAAAAAAACACAAAGAATATGCCCAGACAAGCGCAACGAGACAGAGCGATCGGTATGGCCAATATGGGGGCTACTCAAATTCAGATAGCCAGAACCTTCAACTGCTCCCAGACCACCATCAGCAAGTTGATAATCCGCTACCAACAGTTGGACAGACTCAAGACCGGCCAAGATTGGGAAGACCGAGAGTGACAACACCGGCCGAAGACCGCTACATCCTGCAGATTCACCTCATAAACAGATGTGTGACGGCGACGTCAACGGCGGCAACAGCACTAGGGCTTGCCATCAGCAGACGAACAGTCCTTCGACGACTTCGTACGGCTGGTATACGAGCCTACCGACCCTTCCGTGGAATGGCCTTGATCAGTCTACACCGTCAACGCAGACTGCAATGGGCATGAACTGTACGTCTGTGTCAGCGACGTGACTGGGCGAGAGTGCTCTTCACAGATGAAAGGGGAGAGCGACTGCCGCCAAACTGCATTAGAGAAGTTCACCCGTTTGAAGGTGGAGGCATTGTATGGGGTGGCATTTGTGGCCAGACAACAACATGGCTGGTTTTCTTCCGAGGAAACCTGAATGCTCAGCGAAACTGGGATGAAGTGTTGAGACATGTTGTGGTGCCCTTTATTCAACATCAGCCAAGTGGATTAACTTTGCAACAAGACAATGCAAGGCCTCACACCGCCCGAATTGTTCAAGACTACCTGAATAACGTTAACGTCAAAGTATTGCCCTGGCCACTTTGTTCTCCAGACATGAACCCCATTGAACTTCTCTGGGATCATCTTGATCGTCAGCTGAGACAACATGTAACGCCCTCAGCGAACCGACAGGAATTTGAACAGACGCTATTGAACTTATGGAACAGGATTCCTGTTGACGTTATCCGCCGACTGACAACGTCTATCAGGCGGCGTGTGTTGGCGTGCATGGATGCCCAGGGTGGTCACACTCGCTATTGATGACGTGTTACCTGACCACTGTGTCATGGACTCTTCATGCACTTTTTCAATGAAATCTGATTTGTGTAATTTTTAATTTGGACCCCTTGACTCTTTCTTTGTGTATTGCGGAGAATGCAATATCGGCATTAAAATGCACTTTCATTCTACTTCATGGAAAATTATTTCTGTTTATAAATTAATCATCATAAATCTCACATATGGCTTTGTTTTGGTGTTTGGTCAAGTGAAGTCGGTGAAAACTTTCTTTTGCCCGGTACTTATATATATATAATCCTGGTACCAACGAACACTCTACGTCAAGTATTGCTACGGGTTTTTTTCTGAAAGAGATACTTAAGAGGTCATCGTGATTCTTCTTAAAATAAGACCCCCACCTGTGATATAAAGTTTAGTAAGTTTCGTTCGACTGTGTGAGTATAATATTATCTTGACCAGCCTACAAATCCCAGTTCATGTCCTATCTAGGCTACAAACCCTTTCAGAAGGAGAAACATTGCGGTGAAACTCATTGACTGTCTGATGTGGCCTCCCTCTCATGTATTTCTTAAGAGCTAAAAAAATGACCAACAAAGCACAACAATCCTGCATCAACGTTTATTACTTACATATGGATATATGAACTCGAAAATGCGACAGTGTGCCGCAGGTGGCTTACGGAATGTATATTTGCAGAATGTTACACGAAGGCACACAAACATATTCAATACTGCATACAGTCAATACATTACATTCTTATCATTAACGTAACACCCAAAGCAAGTCCGGTGACCTCAAGGAGCAAGGCCAGGACAGTCTTTCAAAATGAACAAACTTACCACATAATTATGAGAACATTTCAAACAAACATGAGAAAAAAATGGTAACATAAATGTATAGATGGCTAAATATCACCTTGACTCAGGTACACACACACATTTCCCATCTTGCTGTGCAGTCCATTTTATATTCCAGCTCACAGTCCGACACAAAAGTCATCTTTAATACAAAGTTCATTTCCTATAACCTATCCCCAATGGCGGTGCCAAGTGTTTACCAAACAGACATGGACATCAGCAAACAGATTATATGACGACTGGTTCCCGCTCTGACAGCACAATATCTTCTCCATGTGGTAATGTCTCTCTGGACAGTCCACTGGGTTCAAACGTGAGGCACTTTGCACAGAACGTAAGAATCAAAGTACACTCATTTGCAAATATTCACATCAAATTTGGATGCAGTACAAAATCAGCTAAAAATAAAGCATGATAAATGGCAAGTTTTATTGTTGAAATTTTGGATTTTGCTTCTAATTATAAATAATGGAAGCTGCATAAGCATTTAGCATGACACCATGCAGCAGTAGATTAGTTTTAGATATGTATGCAAGCTATGTTCCAGTTCAACATACACACTGAGTGTGACTCTTTCCTTGGGGTAGTTCCACTGACTCGAACGTGAAATTGTCTGTTAACAACTGTGATATGAAATAAGGCAAATGGCCTCTCAAACCAAATTCATGCAGATGTCTAAAGATGACATTGTTCCATGTTTCATCATACGTCAAATTTATCAATATGTCGAGGCACGTTTCTTGTTAATCAAATGCTTATGGGTTAGAATACTGTGCAAATGATTGTACCTGATTAAAGCTGCTCCTGCAATTTAATTGTATGATGTTAATGGATCTATTGATAGGGGTTCAGTGGACACCTTGAGTGCCTGGAAAGTTTCTGATGTATTGGGCATGACGGCATTACTGGCAGTTCAAACATAATACAGACTGTCACAGGTGTTACCAAAGGAGACGACAGCTCCAAATTACACTGTCTGAATTGTCCCAATGTCCTTTGAGGATTTCTTTTCTGATGGTGATCCTGGTGGAAGTTCTTGTGTTTGTTCCTCTGTCTGTGTGGCATGAATTGTTGTTGGAACAGCAGGAGGCAGATTTAGAGCATGAGCAGGGTCTGTAGCAGGATCATGAGTTGGAGTATAATCACAATCTGGAGGACCAGGATATGTGGGAGGAGCATGAGTTGGAGTATGATCACAATCTTGAGAAGGAGCAGCATCTGTGGGAGGATCATTAGATGGAGCATGATCAAAACCTGGAGAAGAAGCAGGGTCTGTAGCAGGATCATGAGTTAGAGCATGATCAAAATCTGGAGAAGGACCAGGATATATAGCAGGATCATGAGGTGGAGTATGATCAAAACCTGGAGAAGAAGCAGGATCTGTAGCAGGATCATGAGGTGGAGATGATCAAAACCTGGAGAAGAAGCAGGGTCTGTAGCAGGATCATGTGTTGGAGTATGATTATAACCTAGAGAAGTACCAGGATATATAGCAGGATCATGAGTTGGAGTATGATCATAATCTTGAGAAGGAGCAGGGTCTGTAGGTGGATCTTGATATGATCAAAATCTGGAGAAGGAGCAGGGTCTGTAACAGGAGCATGAGTTGGAGCATGATCACAATCTGGAGAAGGAGCAGGATATGTAGGAGGATCATAAGTTGGAGTATGATCATAATCTGGAGAAGGAGCAGGATATGTAGGAGGATCATGAGTTGGAGTATGATCATAACCTGGAGAAGGAGCAGGATATGTAGGAGGATCATAAGTTGGAGCATGATCATAACCTGGAGAAGACGCAGGATCTGTATATTGATCTTGAATTGGAGTGTGATCATGATCTGGTGAAGGAGCAAGATCTGTAGGAGGAACAGGAGGATCTGGATTTAGTGCTTGAGCTTGAGCTTGAGCCTTGGCTGGAGCGGGAACAAGAGCTGCACCTGGACCTGGAGCTTGGTCTTGATTTCGAGCAGGTTCTGAAACAGGGGCCGGAGCTATGAGTGAGTGAGTGAGTTGGGTTTAACGCCGCTTTTAACAGTATTCCAGTTATATCACGGCGTGTCAGCTTAGTGTTGGAGGAAAGCCCGAAGTGATGCAGGTATCAGACGTTTACCACTTCGGTGAAACCCACGAGCACAGGTATGGTGCTGACAAACCTAGAAACATAATCGGGGCCAACCGGGATTCGAACTCACAACCATAGGTTTCTGGTGTGCCAAAAGGGACGCAACTCTGCACAGCGAATCGCAACGGTGCATACAGTACTGTTATGGCAAGACTTGACCAAATCTTTGACATTTACGTCAATGAATGTAAACAGGTAAGTATGTTTGATTATTTTGTTCCCTTGTCTTCACATGAGTGAAATGTACATCAAACCGGCAATATTTCAGCCAGAGAGAGAGAGAGAGAGAGAGAGAGAGAGAGAGAGAGAGAGAGAGAGAGAGAGAGAGAGAGATTCTTTATTTCCTCCAGATGTCATTCCGAAGATTACAATGAAAATATATTCAATTACACGCAGTTAACACAATAAAAAGGCATAACATATTTACAATTACACACAGTTTATCAAATTCAGATACCTAAGTGATGACAGATTTTCACTAGAAGATATATATCAAAAGATGCCTTAGTTGTACAGATACGGGCGAATTGAAGTATAATAGTTTCCCAGGTGTGTTGATCCAGATTGTGAGTAAATTTTGTTTCAGCCCAAAAATAAGACTGATAACATATCTGTTTCGTCTTGCATTTCAAAATCAACATATTTTTTAACGTCAAGTACGTCAATAAGAGAAGAGAAAAACGCATTTCTTTCTGATATCAGCGCTTCACAATGTAAAATAATGTGGCTTTCATAGTCGAAAGCATGCCTATTACAGAGCATGCACTCTTTCGAAAGTTTACTGCGTGATGAGACTTTCACACAGAGTTGTAAAGCAGGTCGATATTCCGGGTACAGAAAAGCTTATTGCCAAAGTACATGGTATGTTAATTTCGTATGAATTCTCTTATAACGGGACATGATTGCGTTATTTGATACATTTGTGAGCCATGATTGTTCTTCGTATGTGCATATAGTTTTGTTAACACGATTTCTCCATTTAAATTTGTTGAGGGAAAGTACCATACTGAGTATACGTACGAAGGTAGGGACCCAGATTGTATTTATCAAGTGTTCATTTAAGTTCTCCACAGATTGTCTTTGAATTGACAGGGCTTGCAATGGACGCGCAGAAAATATATTTTGCAAAGTTATTACAGTTCAGATTGCATAAACGACCAAGAAATAAAAGTTTGCATTTATCAATATATGCAGTAATTGTCCAAAGTCCAAGGTTCGAAATAGTAGATTCTGAAGGAGATCTTTTATCAAGACCCTGTACAATGCGTGCAAAATATCTTTGCGTGCCTTCCAACAGAGCGGCATGTTGACCCTTAATGTCATAGAGTAATTCACATCCATAAAGGCTGGTTTTGAGTATCCTTCTGAGACATATTTTCACGCTTGAAATTGGATGAAGATCATAACTATTTAATCCTAAAGATCTTAGGGAGTTAATATCTTGTCTTGCTTTATGACAGTACTTTTCAATTCTTGTTTTACAAGACAGATTGTATGTTAGAAGTATTCCACCATACACCGTAGAGTCAGTTGTAGTGATGTGTATATTACCAAGTTTACAATGACAGTTATACCCCTTGCGTTTTGCTTTGGTGAACACAATAATTGCACTTTTTGATGGATTGTATGTTAGGCGCCCCCTTGAGGCATATGTATGTACAATATCAAGGGATGTTTGTAAGCCTCTCGGTGATGAGCTAATAAGTGTCGTATCGTCGGCAAGTAAGACTGCAGGAATATCCATACCATATGCACGAATGCCACATTGTGCTTGCCTAAGGGCTGTAATGAGGTCATTTATAAAAACAAGAAAAAAACAAGCAGAGATAACTCTGCCTTGGCCAACACCTTGATGAACCATACATCTTGGTAGGAAATATAAGCATAACTATTTGTATAACAATGATGTAGTAATTTCCATGTATTACCTCTAATGCCCAGTTTATGTAGTTTGTAAAATAATCCATCGTGCCATATCCTATCGAATGCTTTTTCATTATCTAAGAAAGCTGCATAGACTGCAGAGTCCCTTTGTATGTAATACTGAATGCCTTCGATCAAGTAAATACTGACATAATAGCTCAATGTTCTTTTCTAAAACCAAACTGTAGCATATCAGGAAAGTCTGGGTTAAGCCTACATAGTTTGTCTTCTATACGTTTGAGCAGTATTTTTTCAAAGAGCTTACAGAGACATGATGTCAGAGTAATACCTCTATAATTTCGAGGGTCAGATTTTTCATTCTTCCCCTTATATATTGGTATGACCATACCAAGTCTATAATCATAGGGTACATGTTGTAGTTTCATCATATGATTAAAAAGTATACGTAAGGAATAAATAAGATGTTCTCCTGCATAGATAATATGTTCATTTGTAATCTTATCCGGACCTGGGGATTTATTCCTGCTGAGGGATTTGACGGCCTCTCTTATCTCTTGACATGTAATTTTTTTTTCCAATTCCTCGTCAGGCTTCTCTCGTACTTGTTTAAATATCTGTACCTTACTAGTTATATCTTCTTTAAATACTTCATCAAATCCTTCGGAATGGTAGGGTTTGGCTAAATCTGAAAAGTATTTACCCCATAATCTGCAAATAGCTGAGGGTGTAGAACCACATTCGTCCTTATAGTTAACTATAGGTATCTCGGCCACCCGCCCTCGTTGTTTTCTAACAGTTTTATGAAAAGAGTTTCTATCAAGTTCAGCTGACCTCTCGATCTCCCTTAGGGTATTCTTTTTGTTGGACCTTTTCGATTTTCGATAGAGGCGCCTGAAGTGTCTCTTTTCAGTTTTATAAGAGATGCGCGAATCTGAGTTTTCATCCCTGGGTTTACCGTTATTTAGCCATGCACGTCGAGCAACCCTCATACGGTAATGTGCATCATTTAGTCCATCAGGTTTCCAGAATGGTTTAAGATAAGGTTTATATTCACTTTTAGGGATGCAATTGGAACTTGCAAGTAAAAGGCATTTACTTATATGGTCGCTATATGTGTCAACATTTTCAGGCTGACAAGACAGATTACAGTCGTGAAAGGAGTTAAGATATGTACCAAATTCACTTTGGTACATGAGTATATCATCTTGACTTGCTTTGTTCCATTTTGGAACAGGGGGGTTAATATTGAGATTATTTCGACCAAAGGCTCTCAATGACATAGATAATAAACATGGGAGATGATCTGACACCGTATAAGGGCATGTATCTATAACATGGAGATCGGTAACATGGTCTTTTATCCAAGAGGGTACCAGAATATAGTCAATCATACTCTTTAAGGTGTTATCCTTGGATCTACATGTATAACGTGGGGAATGGGTTGCGAACTCACTAATGGTGTGTAGGAGGTGTCTATCAGATATAGCAGTGCTAACTAACTTACCCCGGGCAGAGAGATAGTGCTTACAAATATCTGCATTTTTACTTCACACGGGCTACAGGACTGCAAATGCAGTAGCCTATGGTGAATGTGGTAGGTATCCACTTCATACTATTTATCATGTGAAATGCATTAAATATTCGTTTAAGATTTTGCAAATGAGTCCAAACAGATTCCCATACCAGTGTTATAAAATGTTATTATCCATTGCTGATAGAAAACGTCCTAACTGGGCATCGCATATCAGACTTTTGCTAAGTCATTATGATTTTGAGGATGTATGGGCTGCACAAGGCGTTGGCAATGCAGAATTATTTGTACATATGTTTAGCGAAAGAGTTAAAGATTGTTCGTTTCAAGATTGGCATGCATCTCTAGGCAGCAAGACCCTCTCATTCTATTAACTGCATAAGTCTAATATCGTTTGTGAAAAATATTTATCCAATATTAAGCATTGTGAATATAGAAGGCTAATAACCACATTTAGATGTGGACAGAATACTCTTTGTATTTAACTTATACGTAGGGGTGTTGCTAATATTGAGGAGGATGCCGTCTTATGTCATGTAATTGAGGATGAACTTCATGTTATATACAACTGTCCTCTTAATGCAAGTCGGCGGGAAATGTATATCCCAAAGACAGTTAATCATAATTATTTTTGTTTAGAAAGACTCTGTCAAGTATCCAACAACGATGCAATGATAAATTTTGCCAAATTTATAATGTACGTGTTCTCAACACACACACACACAAAAGTATCAATTAGGTAACTCTTAGATAAATAAAATGTAAATGTATTTTGTACAATGGGTCAAATGGCCTTATACAAATAAATCTGTCTATCTATCTGTCTATCTGTCTAATATCTGCATTAAGATCACCAAGGATAAAAGTAACACCCTGTTCACAGAGATCATCATACATATCTATGAGTTCGTTAAGGGCGTCACAATACACAGAATGTAGTACATGAGTTGAAGGTAGGCGACATGCTATTACATAAATATCACAGTAGTGTCGCCGAGTTAGTTTGATAGCTATTGCGTGGTCTGTGCTTACAGTGATAGTGTGAGCTTTCCACTCGCTGTTGCTATTAACTAGGATTGCTAATACATCTAATCCCCGAAAACAGCATGTTTCCGGAGAAACAGCATAAGAGGATATCAAATTTAAATCCTGAAACATATTTAATTTAGACATTCTATTTGCCGGCAGCCAATGCTCCTGTAGGGCCACAACATCAACATGTCGAGACAATGTCTGGCGAATATGGTCTGTACCGTGGAGAACTCCACGTACATTCCATGTTAATAATGATAGCGTCATTAGGAGTACACCCACCTTGATCACAGTGTCCCTTCTAAACTGGATGTGACACATGAATGTTTTATTACCTGTGGGTATGAGAGTCGGCGTTACGAGATGTCATCCGGGTCTTGGGTGCATATTCTCTCGTTTTAATA